TCCGTGAGAACGACTAATAACCAATCTTCTTTAGATGCAATTATCGACAAGGCGTCGCAAAGAGATCATACCTCATTCATCGCGTCGTTTGAGGTCTGCGCAACGTATATCGCGTCCATCAACCCGTCGAAGTCGTCGTCGGCGACGACGGACGATGTGGCGTTGTTGTCACGTATGGCTGTGGAGGGCGCGTCGGCCGCAGGAGATGTGCTCAGGGCGAAGGCTTCCAAAGAAGTCAAAAGATTCTTGAAGCAGGAGTACATTGTTGCAATTGTTTCCGGGCGATGGTGGGCGATGGTGGTCAAGGTGCGAATTGGGGGGGATGTGGTTGAAGTCGGACTTATATGTTCTCACGGCAGGTGCCGAAGACCATAATCGCGCGGTTCGAAATGCTTCTAGGCCCGCTGCCTGCACTGCAAGGCGCGACTACCGAGCGTACAGGGCTACTTTGGAATGATAAGGATACAGAACGATCCAAAGAAAAAATCAAAAAGAAAATATTGTGGTATGGCGTCTCCCCCCGCCGGACACTCGCACCACTCGTACAAGGTATGAGCCCTCATCCCTGAATATTTGGCAGGTAACAATACCGCAACGAGCGTTCAGCAACCCCGCACCATACTCTTTCTTCTGGAGGGCAGTTCTTACCCGTCGATGCCCTCTAGTAAATCCTGTCCGTGTTGTGTTCCGAGGGGTGAATCTAGCAGGGACCAGGCTGGCTAGTGTGCTCCATGCAGTGCCTCATCAGTCTCCACGATGGCGGAGGTGTCGAGCTGTTCCCTGGGTTCCTCGACCTCTCCGTGGCCTCATTGATGAACTCCAGAGTGAAGTCTCGGAGAGCCCTAGGCGTCCGGCGTCATGGGGCGCGTGGTTCCGACCAACGTCGTCCTTAGTCCTGTGAGCAACGTACGAGTTTTCGCCGCCCGCCTCTCCGGGACAACGGTGGACGAGCCGTCGTCATCAGTGGGTGTGGTGGGGAGGAGGTCGGCAGACGCAGTAGGTGAGGTATTGGACGTTCCGACTTCGACGCTGCTCGTCGTAATTTCAGGTCTTTTGCCTTTCATATCTCGGTTCGTAGGATGAACGGCGGCTGCAAATAAATTCCCCGCTCCATAGGGGAGATTCGTGAGTTCGGCTAGCATGCTCCACCACTCCTCCTGTGTGACTTCTTCGTCGAGCGCCGCGAGGCCGCACTCAAATGTAGGCAATGCATCAAAGACATGGTCAATACGCGCTAGGGAGTGAGCCAACGTGGTCGTGTGTTTCACAAGCTTGACTTCCTCTGATGGATGCGAGGACTAGCTCTTGGGCGCTGCGGATCTTCGTCGAGGTCAGTTATACGTTTCGCTGCCTCGGGGTGCAACATATGACGGATTCTTATCAGCCATGAAATCGAAAACAAATCACAACCAGTGAGTGAGGCTCCGTCAGGTCGTCACCTCCTGCATTAATCGGGGACGACATGGCCTGTGGACTACTGAGGCAAGTAGCCTCAGCCTTCGTGAAGAGGATGTCGATGACTGTCAGCATCGTGATAGAGTGAGTCAAAGATGGGCAGCGGACAGTTGTCAGCTGTAGCAGTCGAGGTAGACCACTGGCGATGAGCACTGATTACGCGGCAAGCGCCAGGCTATACGCATTCCTGAACTATACAGAACCCTAGGTGGAGGAGGCTGCAAACCCCTTCGCCCTGCCTGCATCTATTCAGTCCGATATCTATTACCCTCTTACACCGGTATGTGTGACGGTGCACCTCGGTACCCGCCAGGTCCCTTCCTCTAACTGGTACAGAAACTTTGGTCCTACGTGACTTCCGCTACTATCCTGATGGCTGGGAAATGTCATTCTTACCAGACTTCCTGCTGTGGTGACCGTACTGGCCATGTTTCCCGTGTCATCTCATTGCTCACTATGAAATGCGACAGATGGGGATGTCGTCTTCCTATCACGAATATACTCCCCTTTTCGATCATAAGCCGTCAAGCAAGGAGATTCAGGAGCATGTACGGTGAAACCACCGCATACATTCTACCTGAATGCTCTCATTTGTTGCATATATACTAGTCTTACGCCACCTCCTCATGTCCTAGTTTAGGTGTTAATGCGACGCCGAGTCATCCCTCGTCTACTGTGGCCATATTGCGAAGAATACCAGTAATTCTTCCAGTCTTGTCTTCTGACTCTTGGTACTCACGCCGCTAAGAGTGGCTACAGCAACGGCGCATTCCTTGGCCTGTAGCTAGTGAGGACAACGTCATATTCTGAATCAGATTACAATGACTCACCTCAAGGATCCGACCCTCTATTGTCTTCCGTCGTGAACATGTAGATAGTCACAGGTCATTCTTGACCCGGTCTGCGGCCACGGTCAAATGCTTGTCGCTGAATGCTCGATAAGTGGTCCGCCACCACACGGCAATTCAGGAAGCATATCTTCAACTCAAGCGTTCTGACGCTGTCTAGATCCATAGCATCAGCAGAGACCTGAACGACATACCAACTACGCCATCCGTGAGCGATACCAACAGTACAGTTAACGCTCCTATCCCGCTCGAGAGTGTCCAGTACTTTATCTCACTGTAAGGTCTTCAGGCCTCCGGCATCTACTTACAAGCACCTCAGTCTCTCAGGGGACGTAGACGGAACGGAACCTTAAAGCGAACAAACTCCATATCATCTTTGGCAAAATATCCACCGATCACCACAAAAGCATGTGTTACCATTGACTGAACCCCGCCCTCCAGGCCAATTCAAACCCGACTAGTTCCAAGCCGCTCAATTAACGCATCGACAGTGGGTCCGTACGGCTCACAACAATAGGGTATCACGCTTGGCTGAGACACGCATGGACACAAGGCGGCCGCCACTGCCACTCTTTGACCCCGCTCCAGAGGTATTTAAGACAGGAGTGCACAGGGCGGAAAGTATCCACTCCTCTCGCACTCCGATACATGGTTTCGGGCCTCGTCTTCCCTTTCACCGCTCCTGCGCTTGGACTATGGACGCGTCGATAATACCGACGCCCCCGTCGTGTCTGTCTCGCAGGAGTATTGTGAAGGACGTGATGGTGCTGCATGGGCCCACCATCGGACCCACCGACGTTTAGTTTCTTCAAGGCATGTACCCAGTTATCTGCGATGTAGCTAATGGCTCCGGTAAGTCAGCAGCCGTCTCTCAGGGAACAGTCCATAGCACACGCGACATATAATAGCTTTCCGGTCGCATCGCTCCACTTTACAGGCCCACTTGCCCAAGAGAGACAAGAAGAGGCCGATCCAATTGGAACGGACAGCACTGTTCTACCCATCTCCGGACAAACTGTGCCTGGTCTGAGCGT